TTAGCTGAAAGAAGGTTGGAACAATCCATGATCATGATGAAGATACTGTGACACCATTATAGTGCAGGCAGGAGTACCATGACATCAGTTTCACATTTAACCTCAATGAATTAATTATTAGCTCCATCCAGTAACTTTTATCTCACATTTGGTGAGCCATACATCTGAGACTGGTAAGATTATCTTGGTGCAGTCTGAAGAATAACTGCAGGCATGACATGATGGGTAGTATTTGACAAGGGCTGGATAACTTCCTGCTTGGTATGTCCTTGAGATTACGTGGCAATAATAATGATAATCATAATCGTGAAAATGTATTCCAGCTTGTTCAGTTATACATTTGATGAAATCAATGACAAGAATGTCAGTAGCAAGATTGCTGAATCAGGTTTCCAATAGTCCTGGAGTGACTTAGTACTGGAGACTACATGCTATAGATTAAGGCCTGAATACACAACATTCATTGGTCAATGCTGCGGTCAGCAATATTGAACGTATATCACAGCTGCCAGTAACTAATTTACTCAGAACCTTGGATAGATGTTATGAATACCAGTCCACACAGGGGAGGAGGGGTAGCCTATAGGGTAAAGCGTTCGTCGTCATGCTGAAGACCCGGGTTCGATTCCCCAGATGGATACCATGTGTGAAGTCCATTTCTGGTGCCCACTGCAGTGATATTGCTGGAATAGTGGCGAAAAACTGAACTCAATCCTCCAATCCACACCACCGGGATTTAAAGACCATCGAATCTGAGTCAGCTCATTTGAGCATAGGCTAACGCGTCACCCCTGGACTCCAGGGTGGGGTATACATCTACAAACAGCTTTGCAGACATCCCGGGGGCTATATTGTAATGACATTGTCATGGAAACAACAGGGACATTTTATTGAATCTGTATGAATTTGTGAAAGTAGGCAAAAGATGTGGAATTGTATAAAAAATTAATTATTTTTCAAAATGTACATCGAAGAGAGAAGTAACTGTCCTTGCTAAATGATTGTCACATATGTGAACCACAAACTTGTGTTGTGTACATCTCTGAGATATGATATTTTGTTCAGTCACAGACAGAAGCATTTGGTTTCATCCAGTGGATCTTGATATATTTGAGAACAATAAGTTATGTTTTTTGTATCAGATGGCAGCAGATTATATGTATTTTGTGAAACATATGGACATCTCTTCACGTCATGACAAAATGTGAACTTTCATGAATGTTGTTTAGTCCCACGACATCACCATGGAAATTATGTGGGGGTGGGGTTATGTGGCTGGGGAATATGTTGGGGTGGGGTTATGTGGCTGGGGAATATGTGGGGATGGGGTGGGGTGATGTGGCTGTGGTATATGTGGGGGTAGGGGTGATGTGGCTCTGGAATATGTGGGGGTGGGGCTATGTGGCTGGGGAATATGTGGGGGTAGGGTGATCTGGCTCTGGAATATGTGGGGGTAGGGTGATATGGCTGGGGAATATGTGGGGATGGGGTGATGTGGCTGGAGAATATGCATGAGTGAGAGTGATGTATATTATTTTTCACTACAAGCTTAGGCAAGTGTCAATTAAATTAAACAACAATGAATATCTAATAACACCAGGGGAGAATGGGATGTTTTGAAAAAAATACTGTTTCTAAGTGTTTTCATAGATTCAGGGCTTATTCGGCATCTGGTTTGTCAGTAGGTGAGCAGTTTAGTCAGGCCATTATCGCATGCGTGGTGCTGACTGTGACACGGGTGGTGCTGACTGTGACATGGGTGGTGCTAACTGTGACATGGGTAGGTGGTGCTGACTGTGACATGGGTGGTGCTGACTGTGACATGGGTAGTGCTGACTGTGACATGGGTGGTGCTGACTGTGACATGGGTAGTGCTGACTGTGACATGGGTAGTGCTGACTGTAACATGGGTGGTGCTGACTGTTGGGTGGGTAGTGCTGACTGTGACATGGGTGGTGCTGACTGTGACATGGGTGGTGCTGACTGTGACATGGGTGGTGCTGACTGTGACATGGGTGGTGCTGACTGTGACATGGGTGGTGCTGACTGTGACATGGGTGGGGTGGTGCTGACTGTGACATGGGTGGTGCTGACTGTGACATGGGTGGTGCTGACTGTGACATGGGTGGTGCTGACTGTGACATGGGTGGTGCTGACTGTGACATGGGTGGTGCTGACTGTGAACATGGGTGGTGCTGACTGTGACATGGGTAGTGCTGACTGTGACATGGGTGGTGCTGACTGTGACATGGGTGGTGCTGACTGTGACATGGGTGGTGCTGACTGTGACATGGGTGGTGCTGACTGACTGTGACATGACATGGGTGGGTGGTGCTGACTGTGACATGGGTGGTGCTGACTGTGACATAGTGGGACTGCTGACTGTGGGGTGGTGACTGTGACATGGGTGGTGCTGACTGTGACATGGGTGGTGCTGACTGACTGTGACATGGGTGGTGCTGACTGTGACATGGGTGGTGCTGACTGTGACATGGTGGTGCTGCTGACATGGGTGTGCTGACTGTGACATGGGTGGTGCTGACTGTAACATGGGTGGTGCTGACTGTGACATGGGTGGTGCTGACTGTGACATGGGTGGTGCTGACTGTGACATGGGTGGTGCTGACTGTGACATGGGTGGTGCTGACTGTGACATGGGTGGTGCTGACTGTGACATGGGTGGTGCTGACTGTGACATGGGTGGTGCTGACTGTGACTGGGTGTATGGGTAGTGCTGACTGCTGTGACTGACTGTGACATGGGTGGTGCTGACTGTGACATGGGTGTGCTGACTGCATGGGTGGTGCTGACTGCAACATGGGTGGTGCTGACTGTATACATGGTGGTGCTGACTGTGACATATGAGGTGGTGCTGACTGTCACATGGGTGGTGCTGACTGTGACATGGGCTGACTGTGACATGGGTGGTGCTGACTGTCACATGGGTGCTGACTGTGACTGTGACATGGGTGGTGCTGACTGGGTGGTGCTGACTGCATGGGTGGTGCTGACTGTAACATAGGTGGTGCTGACTGTGACATAGGTGGTGCTGACTGTGACATGGGTACTGACTGTGACATGGGTAGTGCTGACTGTAACACATGGGTGGTGCTGACTGTGACATGGGTAGGGCTGACTGACATGGGTGGTGCTGACATGACATGGGTGGTGGTGACTGACTGGGTGGTGCTGACTGTGACATGGTGGTGCTGACTGTGACATGGGTGGTGCTGACTGTGACACGGGTGGTGCTGACTGTGACACGGGTGGTGCTGACTGTAACATGGGTAGGGCTGACTGTGACATGGGTGGTGCTGACTGTGGCATGGGTAGGGCTGACTGTGACACGGGTGGTGCTGACTGTGACACGGGTGGTGCTGACTGTGACATTGGTGATGCTGACTGTGACATGGGTGGTGCTGACTGTGACATGGGTGGTGCTGACTGTGTGTGTGCTTGTGTACCTCTTGTCTTTGCCATTATTTCTGTTAGGAACTTGAGGCATTCTAACTCAACAACATAGACCAGAGGTAGACTAGCACACACACACAGATGCCATTATTTCGGTCACAGACTTGTGACATTCTTTATATGCAGTTATCGTATGTGTATGTATTTTACACTTCAATATTCTCTTGGTTCATTTTGTTAAAATGCATTTCAGTGACAATTTGTATTCAAGACATGATTATAGGTCACAGATGCCTGCACATGGAGAGCACCTGTTTGTGTATATTGAATATGTAATGGCATGCAGGTACAATCTGGATCTTCATAAATAATTGGCAGTTAAGTTTCTTCTTTGGTTACCCACATTCTGTCTGTAACAGAAGGATGACTTGTAACAAGTTAAATAATGACAGATTACAGACATTAATCCGGATATACCAGGGATAGAAAGTGTGCCTTAGGGCACAAGGTAAATATTTTAGGTGTGCCTTTCAGAAATCAGGTGTGCCCCTGTTTGTACAATAAATGACTGTAGCAAAGATGATGATCTTTTGAAATTTATTGTCAGAAAACAACAAATGTAACCAGTTTTATTTTATCACTGATATGTCTTCTGTTTAAGATGGCTTTCTTATGTTTCATTTGTTCTGCTTTCCCAGCACCTTTAATAGCTAAGAATTGTGTGAGAGGTTCACTTTTTTCAATATATCTAACATACACAATTTCCTCTTCAATAACTGAACTATCAGTACTCCCAACACTCTAAATGAAAAACAACCAGATTTCTTTACATGAACCATCATAATTCCAGTGATTTCCTGGGCGATAAAGTCAATAAATGTTTTTACTTGGTTGTCATTTGCATAAGTGTTTTGTTTGGTTATTAAGTGACTAAAGGTGTGTTATGTCTTAGGTGTGCCATAAGGGCACCGAGAACATTTTTTATCCGTGCCATTTCGATATTTACCGTGCTATGGCACGCTAACATATGGGGTATTTCAAACCCTGTATACAATGAAGATGTGTTACTATCTGAACTTGTAACAAAATTGTGTTCTTCAGTGGGGTTTTGTTGGCATGTGATTTCTGGTGTTATGTGCTCATGGCAATGACTAAGCATTGGGAAAGAAGCATTGAAACTCCCAACAGTATGTGTTTTGTGCACCCCTCTATCATGTCTATATATTGGGGGAAAAAATGTGCACTCTGTACTGAAGGAAATGTGCTAATTCACTGTGACCCTTCAATCTGAGGAGTGTTGTGTTTAATATGCAAGTTAAAATTTGATTTTCTGGGGGTGAATGTGAGTAGGAAAGTCAATCTTGGATTTAAGAGTTTTTATGAAAGGCTATTCATCGAAAAAACGTTTCTGCATGAAGACAGCAAGAGAACAAATTTTATTGATGTACAACATGAAGCTCATTCAGAGGCTTCTGTGACAGGCAGAATGATGGATGAAAAGGTGCATGTTGCTTTGGCTGCCAGATAAAAATTGCCGTGAGATTATGGATTTTGTCTCGTAACTTTACAATTTTGATTTATCATTTCAGATACAACTGTTGCAGATTTTGGATGTGTATTGACTCAGGATGTGGTGTGGAGCTGGGTAGATATCAAGCAGAAGTAGAATGACATTGACACTAGCGTCATCTGCCCTACACTATGCATGGACAACATCTAGAAGATTATCTTAACTCTACCTGTTGCAGTCCGGAAATGGGTAAAGGTAAGTCAAGGTCACAATGACCTATATTATGACGAGTAGACTAATGTTTAATTTTCGTTTTATGAAGTAAGTTTTTGGTCAAGAACATGGCTTGTATATAAATAAAATACTGTAAACTAACGTTTAAATGTTATTTTATTATGCCCAACTTTGGTTGAGAGTTTGACTTATTTCTGTCCTTGGGTTCTGGTGCCTGGTAGTTAGGCAGCAGGTTGTCAACTCCTCGATACCAAAGGGCTGAGACTTCCTGCTTCTTTTGGAGCCTTCATCCACATCTGCACCATACATTTTGTAATGGAAATTTAGTTTTTAATAACACATGGTGGCTTACGCAAACTTTTATGAAACTGTGACAATTTTTAACAACCAAGAGTTATAGACATAACTAAAGCTGTTGACAGACCTGTGAGAACATACGACAAACATGTTACTGGTGAAACAAAATTATTGTTGATTTTCTGTCCCTCTTGACTGATTTATTTCCTTAATTGGTTCCTGGAAACTATATAATGAGTGAATATTGCTCTACACAGCTGTTGGGAATGGGAGATATTGATGTGATTACAATGACAGTGTGATTTGGAGAATCAGATTAAGTTTATGTCAAGTTGCATGAATGTTAAGTGCTATAAAGTCATTTCCCTGCTTGAAATTCCCCTGAATGTACTGTGTTAATTCAGGAGGGACGATGCTAAACCTTCATAGACAAAAAGTTGCTCCATTCAAACGTCTGTGCAGATTGTTTCAAACTCAGTAGTTCTGTCGTTGATTGAGACCAGCTTTGTGGTAAAGTCAGCTAGGTTAAACTGACCTTAGAATGAATGTCACGGCATTAATGGATACATATTGTCTTGATATTTAATATATTTTATTAATGATATTTATTAGTGCATGTGCCATGAATGTAAAAATGTTTTTGTGTAATATAGAGAAGTAGGTAGCAGTGAGTGTCGCCTTCTGTCACACAAATCATGTGCACGACTACCCCATGCACGGTGTATACCCACACTGGAATTACTCTACATTAGGAGATACTCTGAACTGTCTCCCACTGGTACGATGTCCCAACCACAGCCTGCTGTGCATTGTATCCCCACACTGGAATTACTCTACATTAGCACTGTCTCCCACTGGTACGGGGATAGTGCAATGATTGTTGGAGGTTTGTCAGCACAGTACTAGTACGAGGACTGTAACGATACACCCAGACCTCGATATTGGACACTCTATTCGATCATTTTTTATTCGATTCTTCATACAAGTAAAAACATCAGCTTCATTTAACTTTCAGAGTCAGCTTTTTTAGCATGAAATCCATCGTCAACTTGGCGATGTCTGCTAACAACAATTCTCATTGGATAGTTAGCCCAGCGTTAACCAATCACATTTCGCCTTATTTCAGCACTGCTCGAGTTGGAGTCAAAATTATGTTCTGGCTGTGTGGAAATAATTTAAATAGGTATTCAAATATCGAATCAAAATAGTGATAAAGGTTATCAAAATTCGAAACTAGGGTGTCAGATTCGATTTTCAATTTACCTGTACTCAAGGGTAAACATGTGATGGTTTTACTGAGGGGTTTTCTGCAATCTTAAACTGGCACAACTGGATTAACTAAAATAACACCCACTTACTGTTTTTGGTACCCTGTTGACTTTAAGGATGAAAGCCAAGGCAAGACACTTGTATTTACCCAATTGTTAACAACTTAAATTTTAAAGATCCCAGATTCATATACGGTAGCCTAAAACCTTAATCCACTTGACCGCCTCCGTGGTGTAGTGGTTAGAGCGTCCGCCCGGAGAGCGGAAGGTCGCGGGTTCGATCCCCGACCGCGTCATACCAAAAGACGTTAAAATATGGTACTTGTTGATCCCTGCCTGGTGCTCGGCATTAATGGGTACAACAAGGACTGGTCGGCTTGGAGTTAGTATAATGTGTCTGAGTGGGGTATTCATGCTTCACTGCGGTATGGTATCTCAGTGGGCTAGCACTATAAAACCAGCTTAAGTCTGGGCTAGTACAAGCAGCCGCACTTACACATACACACGCATGCACGTTGTCATATGAGGGAAATATTCTCAAGCACAACGTTAAACCCAATTTCACCTTTAGGTTAGTAGACCTTACTTTCAAGTGTTGTTGACAGGACAGTGTAGAGGCAGTGGCTGTGGGGTGAAGGAACATGATGAACATGTTGTTATCGCCCCATTTCATGATGAAATGTCTTTGTATGGCTGGGTCAAAATGACCTATGAATATGCACTGTTATCATTAACCATGTCAGATCAGTGTACGGCAGTGCTCTGTGTAGATATTCACTGTCACCAATGACATAGAGATGCTTAGGGTAGCTGCTGTCATAATGAAGTATTTTTACTTTTGAACAACCTAGGGAGCAGTTATAATCTGTATGGCAAAGTCACATAGACATTCTGTATAACAGGGTGACAGTGACCTGAGAATATACTATAATTGTGACCCAGGAGTAAGAACTATCTATGCCTAGGTCACAGTGACTTGAGGACAACAACACTGACATAAGTAACATTATTTATGGTTAGGTCATCGTGACCTCAGAACATACTGTAACACTGCTCTAGGAAGCAAACTGTCAGTGAAGCTGGGTCGCAGTGACTGTACACTGCTGTCACACTGACAAGGAAGCAGTAAAAACTTGTATGGTTGGGTCATAGCGACCTTAAAACATACTGTGACACTGACCTAGGAAGTGAACACTCAATGTAGCTGGGTCATGGTGACCGTAGAGAATGCTGTAACACTGACCTGTAAAGCAAACCCTCTGTAGCTAGATCACAGTGACACTGACCAAGACCCAAAAAGCAGTAACTCCCTGTAAGGCTAGGTCACAGCGACCTTTGAATGTCTTGTAACACTGATCCAATAGGTAAAGGCTCTGTGCAGCTGGGTCACAGTGACCGTAGAGTATGTTGTACCACTGACCAATGAAGCAGTAACCCTCAGTATGGCTAGGTCACAGTGGCCCTTAAACATGCTGTAACACATTCAGTATGTCTACATTACAGTGATCTTTGAATGTATTAAACATGACCAATATAGTTTTGTTGCAGTGCTCAGTTTATCTAGGTCACAGTGAACATGCCACAGAATATGCTGACCCATACGACAGTGTCACACTGCACTGTGTGGCCAGGTGGCAGCAGCCCCCAGAAAAGTTTCTATCAAATTTTGGTGATTTTAACTCATGCTATGTGATTTTAATAGGAGCAAGAATTCTATTTTGTTTCAGAATTTCTTCACCTACATGTTTTTCTTTACAACCACCTGTAAATAATCAAATCGTGATCAGAAAAAAATAGTGGTTGATAGCACAAGCAAATATTTTTGTATGATGTCAAAACTGTTATCACAGCCCATTGGATCTTATATGGAAGAAACCGCCTCCGTGGTGTAGTGGTTAGAGCGTCCGCCCGGAGAGCTGAAGGTCGCGGGTTCGATCCCCGGCCGCGTCATACCAAAAGACGTTAAAATATGGTACTTGTTGGTCCCTGCCTGGCGCTCGGCATTAATGGGTACAACAAGGACTGGTCGGCTCGGAGTTAGTATAATGTGTCTGAGTGGGGTATTCATGCTTCACTGCGGCATGGTATCTCAGTGGGCTAGCACTATAAAGCCAGCTTAAGTCTGGGCTAGTACAAGCAGCCGCACATACACATACACACGCATGCACGTCGTCATATGAGCGAAATATTCTCAAGCACGACGTTAAACCCAATTTCACCTCACCTTATATGGAAGATGAGGAAAACTTTCTGCAGAAGGGCCATAGTCCCCATATTCAGTGTCTACTCCATCTTATGCAGTTACAATATACTTGTATGTACCCAGCTGCTCTTACTGAATTACAGCAACACAGGTCTTTGCTCTTACACTGGTTCTACCTCCTCGGTTGTGTAATTGATACACCCAGACTTTCATCTACCATGGCCTGAAACATGACTCCAACAGCTCCTTGTACTCTAACAGAAGTAAAACTTTCATTCTAAGCATTCTCTTTTTGACAAATATGCTTATTTATGGCTTTTTGGGTCAACAGATCCTTAGGAATAATACATGTGACCTGTTTTAAGGACAGTAAGTAGTTTATGTTTTTTTCCTACATAGGATGCTTTCCAGCTTTAAGGGCACCAGGACCAAAGGTCAAGGTGAACTTGTAGATCTGTCTCCGCCATCTTTTATCTACCTGGTAACTTCATACAAATGTCCTTACACCCAAACTGTTAGTACACTGCTCTGTATGTCAGGGGAATGAGGTTTGATAATGACATTCAACGAAGCAGTTTTGTGATGAACATAGGATAACAGTGGTAGATAATGACATTCAAAGAAGCAGTTTTGTGATGAACATAGGATAACAGTGGTAGATAATGGCATTCAAAGAAGCAGTTTTGTGATGAACATAGGATAACAGTGGTAGATAATGACATTCAAAGAAGCAGTTTTGTGATGAACATAAGATAACAGTGGTAGATAATGGCATTCAAAGAAGCAGTTTTGTGATAACAGTGGTGGTATATAATGACATTCAAAGAAGCAGAACATAAGATAACAGTGGTAGATAATGGCATTCAAAGAAGCAGTTTTGTAATGAACATTGGAGATAACAGTGGTAGATAATGACATGATGAACATATGAACATAGAGATAACAGTGGTAGATAATGGCATTCAAAGAAGCAGTTTTGTGATGAACATAGGATAACAGTGGTAGATAATGACATTCAAAGAAGCAGTTTTGTGGATGAACATGGATGATGATGACATAAAGAAGCAGTTTTGTGATGGATAACAGTGGTAGATAATGACATTCAAAGAAGCAGTTTTGTGATGAACATAGGATAACAGTGGTAGATAATGGCATTCAAAGAAGCAGTTTTGTGAACATAGGGATGAACATAAGATAACAGTGGTAGATAATGACATTCAAAGAAGCAGTTTTGTGATGAACATAGGATAACAGTGGTAGATAATGACATTCAAAGAAGCAGTTTTGTGATGAACATAGGATAACAGTGGTAGATAATGACATTCAAAGAAGCAGTTTTGTGATGAACATAGGATAACAGTGGTAACATAGATAACAGTGGTAGATGACATTCAAAGAAGCAGTTTTGTGATGAACATAGTAGATAACAGTGGTAGATAATGACATTCAAAGAAGCAGTTTTGTGATGAACATAGGATAACAGTGGTAGATAATGACATTCAAAGAAGCAGTGAACATTAACAGTGTAGATAATGACATTCAAAGAAGCAGTAGGAACATTGGAGAACAGTGGTAGATAATGGCATTCAAAGAAGCAGTTTTGTGATGAACATAGGATAACAGTGGTAGATAATGACATTCAAAGAAGCAGTTTTGTGATGAACATAGGATAACAGTGGTAGATAATGGCATTCAAAGAAGCAGTTTTGGTAGATGAACATTAAGATAACAGTGGTAGATAATGACATTCAAAGAAGCAGTTTTGTGATGAACATAGGATAACAGTGGTAGATAATGACATTCAAAGAAGCAGTTTTGTGATGAACATTGGATAACAGTGGTAGATAATGACATTCAAAGAAGCAGTTTTGTGATGAACATTGGATAACAGTGGTAGATAATGACATTCAAAGAAGCAGTTTTGTAATGAACATGAACATTGACATTCAAAGAACAGTGGTAGATGAACATATTCAAAAAGCAGTTTTGTGGTGAATATGAACATTTTATAATGAACATTGGAGAACAGTGGTAGATAATGACATTCAAAGAAGCAGTTTTGTGATGAACATAGGATAACAGCGGTATATAATGACATTCAAAGAAGCAGTTTTGTAATAAACATTGGATCAATTTGAGAAGAACAAGCTGTTACTATATTTTCTTGATTGATAAGTGAAGTATTGTGGAAAGAAGTTATATTCTTTGTTCAAAGATTGATTTTCTCAGTGCCTGGATAAGGTGAGCAACAGTGCACTTGCACTCTTATATGCACTATTCACATACATTTTGTATATATTCTGAAATGTTTCAACCACCTATCTGCTGCTTAGGCTATAGCTTGATTCACTCAGACTGCTAAGTGTGTACAGCTAGTCTAATGATTTCTCATGACTTACTCAGTATAACATTGACAATCTCTGTACATTTGTGAAAAATGCCATTAATATCTTTGATGTAGTTGATTGTCTCAATGATATTGTTGTTAGTATCTTCAGCGTAATTAATATTTTTTCAGTACTATTGATATTAATATCTTCAATAAATTGTCTCTTTATTATCGATCTTAGTATCTTCATAAATATTATCTCATTATTATTGATCTTAGTATTTTCATAAAAATTTTTTTATTATCGATCTTAGTATCTTCATAAATATTATCTCATTATTATTGATCTTAGTATTTTCATAAAAATATCTCATTATTATTGATCTCAATATCTCCAGAACAATTACCCCATTATTATCAATATTAGTATCTTAAGAATAATTATCTCTGTATTATTGATATTACTATCCTCATAATAGTTATCTCATTATTATCAATACTAGTATCTTCAGAATAATTATCTCCTTGTTATTGATACTAGTATCTTTGATTTAATTGTCTCAGTATTATTGACATTAGTATCTTTGATTTAATTGTCTCAGTATTATTGACATTAGTATCTATGATTTAATTGTCTCATATTAGACATATCTATGATTTAATTGTCTCAGTATTATTGATACTAGTATCTTTGATTTAATTGTCTCAGTATTATTGACATTAGTATATATGATTTAATTGTCTCAGTATTATTGACATTAGTATCTATGATTTAATTGTCTCAGTATTATTGACATTAGTATCTATGATTTAATTGTCTCAGTATTATTGACATTAGTATCTTTGATTTATTTGTCTCAGTGTTATTGACATTAGTATCTTTGATTTAATTGTCTCAGTATTATTGACATTAGTATCTTTGATTTAATTGTCTCAGTATTATCTACATTAATATCTTTGATTTAATTGTCTCAGTATTGTTGACATTAGTATGTATGATTTAATTGTCTCAGTATTATTGACATTAGTATCTTTGATTTAATTGTCTCAGTATTATTGACATTAGTATTCGTGATTTAATTGCATATGGACCATCTTGATGTGAATGTAATACACATAAGTAGGTTCAAGCGAATATGGCCTTGACCCCATCAGAGTAATTGACCTTGAGTTATGCTACGACCTTCACACAGTAGATCTCACACAAGTTTCCTACAGTTAGAAACAAATAGTAATTTCACTTTTAAATAAATTTGACAAATATTGAAGGCTTTAGCAATGAGCTGCAGAGATTATATATAAATTTAGTTTGTTCACATTAAGAGGATATTTTTTCCTTGCTTGTAAAGTTTACACTCCGTTGAACACAGGCTGTTTGATGACAAAGTATAAATCCATGCACGACTCCAATACACCAATACATCATTCAACTGTTAATATTCATGATGCCGATAGATTGATAGGCGCTATTGTATAACTTCGCCACTCTGTCTGTAAATAAGGATAAGTCTTCACCATATTTCAATGGTCCTGAATATTTTTTAGGTTTCTCTGTCTATTTCTAAGCATTGATGTCAGCGAGTCTTTATGAAATATTTTTGTACTCAGGTTTTAAGCAATGCTTTTGTCATAGTTGCCATTTTAGCAAGTATCCAATAAACTAAAGGTATTGAGTCTTAACAGATTTAGTGGAATATCTTAATTAATACTGTCAGATAATGTTCATTCTCATTAGGGGCGGTGGGGTAGCTTTGTGGTTAAATCATTCACTCATCAGGCTAACGACCAGGGTTTGATTCCCCACATGGGTACAACGTCTGAAGCCCATTTCTGGTGTCCCCCGCCGTGATATTGCGGGCATATTACAAAAAGCGGCGTAAAACTAAACTCATTCATCCGGATTAAGAGAAGATCCCACATGTTTGGGTATCATTGGGGTTACAACAAATTAATAATGTTTAACAAATAAATATTGTTGTTTGCCTTACTTCTGGACCATTGTGTGGAACATGCTGAGTCCTCCACAGTTGTCTTAGGTATCATGTGGGCCTGACTAGAAATACTGACCGTCAGAAATATCAACAATGGGAAGAATTATTAACAATTGACAATGTGAAGACAATGTGTCACGTAGATTATCTTACGTAAACACGTAAACTGTTGTGAGAAATAAAGCTTTAATTTACAATTCCAATTTATGTTGAGAAGGCTGTTTTTGTTTGTAATTTGTGCAAATATTTGTCAATATCCACAAGCAACATGAAATATGTTGACTTTTTCCTGGCTTTCTCTTTTTGCTCATAGTTACTTCTCTGATATTTATCTAGAATCGATCGATATGTATGATTATCAATCTCAATTATCTATCACTAGCCAGTCGTATTGTGTCAACATGTATTAACATGAATACACCTGACACATTCCAACTAAAACAATGGCTGTTCAGTCAAATACCTGAATCTGTGGTGGAGAGCGATTCAGAGTTTCCATATAGCAGATGAAGATTGTAACAATGAACTAGATAATATTAAAGATGGCTGAAACTAGGTGATAAGGGATCTCATAGTATTCTGGGTCCCGATCCTCAAAGCATGAACTCGTAGAGCTACAACATTGTAAGCCTATGGTAAACTGTAGAGTTATGACAGATCAAACGTTATGAATGCTCTGTGGATCAGGGCCCTGTTCCTCAAAGCAATCATAACCCAAAGACAATCGCAACTCCCATACTTTTATATAGACTTATGACAGTTGTAGCTCTACGATCGCTTTGAGGAGCGAGGCCCTGGACCGTGGAACCTTTCCCAGCAATATGAATAGCCATATGGGAAGCTACAACGTTGGTCAACCATTTGTCAACTTATCCTTGATAGTTCACCTTGAAGTGGCCTTAAATCTGGGATTTTCAGGGTGTTCTGGAGCTAGCTTCCCAAGGTTCAGATTTAAAGTGAGATCTTGAAGCAGAGATATAAGCTTGGGTGCACTTGGAGAATACTGTGATCTCAGATTAAGGCGGAACTGCCTTGTACAATGCTGTTCA